AAGCATTTATCTACTGGGAGCGGGGAGGCAAGCAGGCCACGATCGTGTCCGTCTTGCCTGGCTCTAATGCTGGCCACCAGTTCCCCACGCTGGGTAAGACAGAGCTGCTGTCCCTGATGTGCCCTGGAGTTTCCCGGGTGCTTCCGCTATCCAAGTGCATGCTGACATAGTAATGTGCAGCCCGGGGCCTTGCATTCGTACTGCAGGAGCCATTAACTGCCCACAGCGTTGGGCACAAACGCGCTATAAAACACGTCCTTCCTGTGCCCCCTCACTATCCCAACGGGCCTCCATGGCTTAGCTTTCAGGTCAGCATCTGTATGTTAGAAATGTCATTTGGTTTCACTGAAGGCAGCTGTTGGGTGCAAGCACAGCTGTCTGCAAGGAGGCAGGGGCAGCTGGCAGAGGAGAAACAGAGCAAAAGCCCATTTCTTCCTTGTGTCAAAGGACTTTCTCGCTACTGGACTGTGCTGCTCCCTTCTTTGCCAGCCAATGCCCTCCAGCCATTCCTGCAGCCTCCTTCTTACTCCCCAAAGGTGCTGCCAGCATTAAAAAACCAGGAGTCAGCTTCCCCTGAATCTTAAATATCGCATAGCAATAATAATATACATGGGGGGCATCTCTTTCCTGATGCTCAAGTCTCTCAGGGTCACGTGCTGCTCACAAGCAGGAGGTTGTGAAGATGTATCTTTGTTTTCTCAATGGAGCTACAATCCCTCTGTAACGACACGGCTCGAGGATCCAAGAGAAATGCCCACCAGTATGCAACCCCCGAGGCCTTAGCTGAGCCTGGGCTACGACCTGAGTGAATGGTGGGTGCTCAGCCCCTCTGATTATCAGGCTTTATCAAGTTGGGCACCCCCAGAGAGAGGCCTGCAGCAGCAACGAGCTGTAGGCATCACATGCCAAGTTGTTTAACAAGAGGAAATCAGGGGATAGAAGCAGCCAATCGTTAGCGTTTTCTGTTACGAAATTAGATCTTCTCGGCTGTGTTGCTGCACCAAGCAACATCCCACACCTCTGCAGGAGGGAATTTGAAAGACACTTGGGGCATATATCACAACCGGACGTGTTTCGCACAGGTGGGAATCTACCTGTCCAAGACCCTGCCTGCAAACTTCCTACGGGCGGCTGCCTGCAGCGAGAAACGATGGCAGTGATGCACGCAAACCCCGCACCGGCGCATGAGACCCGTGTCACGTACAAAGCCACGCGAGCCTTATTTTGAAGGAAGGAAGATTTTGTGAGGAGCAGCAACCACTTTGTATTACCCCCGGAGAGAGATGTTAGATGGCCTTCCCCCTTCCTCGCTGTGACGGAGGTAGTACATGGGAGTCAATTTAGCCCCAGAGCAGCTTGAAAAGCTGTGCACTGGAAACACTTAGTACGGTGAAGTCAGACCTGGATTTAATTCAAGGGATGGAAAAGGCAGGTTCTCCTGTTAAATGCTCTGCCCAAAGGGGAAGCGGAGAGTTACTCGCAGAAAGACGGGAAAGGACCAGAAGGAGACACTAAGATCCAACCAAGGAAATCCCGTGCGACCAGCCGATGTGTCCAGATCCAGCCAGTGCGAAAGAGTCCGGCTGCGAAGCCAGCTTGAGGGCTCTTGGCACGACCGTCACCATTTCTATGAGGAGCTCCCTACACAAACTCTGGCCTGGATGAGTTAAATCTGCAGTGCTCTGCCTGGCGTCCCAGCTAGCTGGGGGCAACGCAGCATCCAGCAGACAAGACGGTTTATTGTTTAACTTCTAGTGCCTTGAAATCTTGCCAGCCAGCTTGCTCTGCTTTGATAGATAGCCGTGAAAGGGTCCTTCTGTGATGTTCAAGCTACTAGAGACACCGCGGGCCTGCGAGGCTGCGTGCTCCGTGCGGCTTGTAGTACAGGATGCAGCTGTAACCCCGTGGAATATATAAAAGGGTGGCTGCAAAGGGAGCAATTTGCCTTACAAAGCTGCATCTCTGACCCCCTCTCAGGCAACCCCGCTGCTCCAGCAGATGCCCACAGCTGCAGCACTGTGATCAGAAGCCAGCTGGCAGGACCTCAGGGACCAGGGGCTGTTCAACAAGGCTCATTCCCAACCGCAGACATGTTGATCGAGTGCAGTGGGAAGACGTCCCGGCACATGCTTGCCCATCGGAAATAAAGAGCGTCTTGGCTTTGCGAGACAGCACAGCCTACCCTGGCTGCTAACACAAATTAGGAGGTTTCCTTTCTATACCTGGTAGAGTTCCCACAAAAGTTCTCTGCTTCTCAGCTCTCTGGTTGGTGTCCTGCCTTTCTTCATTGCCTTTACGGTGCCCTGGAGCCATTTTCCTCGCTTTTCTATTCACCGTGACACCAAGAAACAAGTCTCCCCTGTTCACATGACTCCAGGGGCTGGGGCTTTCAGAGGAAACACCACCCAATATTGTGAGACTTGCAACAAATTGGCCAATCAGCCATGCTGCAGACCCCGATGCTTCTTCCTACCCAGGGAGGACAAGCCAGCTCTTTCTCTTAAACGCCCTGCCCCTGCTGCGAAGCATTTCAAACCGAGCAACCCTATTTTCCTAGAGAGCTGCCCACGCAAAGGGGCTAAATCCAATCCCTCCATAGTTATTGAGCAGGGAGGCTGATGCTGCAGTCCTGCTTGACCTGGCGTGGGGAAGCACCGGGCTCTTACATGCCAAGCATGACCCCAGCTCCGAGAAGAGACAGCCCCTTGTAAAGTCTATACAACAGCACTTAAGAGTCAGGCCACTTTCCTTTTCACGGAGGCGAGGCACAACAATGCTTTGGGCAGCTTTGACAAGGCATCCAAAGCTTCTCATGGTCCAGAGCAAACGCGCTCTCCCTTTTCAACGAAGCCCACAACCTCCAGCCTGGACCTGGCTCTCTGGAAGTGCTGTATCCCAGCAAAGTCACCGCAGCAGGGGACCTTCTCCCCGGCCCTGCAGCCAGCTGGAGCTCACACCTGGGAAGCTATAACACCCCACAGACCTCTCCCACCACCTGGAATAATTCAATGTTTTCGCTCCATCACATTCATTTAGTCCAGGAAGTGAAGGAACTCAAAGGGGAGCTCTTTACTGGAAAGACTTCGATAAGGTCTAATACAGCAGAGAAAAGACCAAAAAAGAAGTATCCTGTGGACAGATTTAGTTCATTGCACTCAGCTCCAACTACCACGACGCCGGAAGCAATTATATTTTCATAATGAATTATTTTCTACCTCGCTGCAGCTCGAGTGCTGGCGCAACAGGGCTGCACCTTTGAGTGTCTCTGACACTTCCTCGGCAGGAAGGGAGGGAGGCCAGCCTGCGTCATGGCGCTTCTCCTCCTCTATCCCACAGGTCCTTGTCATCTCAGCGTAACTCTGCGAGAGAAATGAATCCAGTCCCTTTTCCATCTCCTCCATTAAACACCCCTCACTGGGGGTCTTGGTCACCGCTGGGGCCTCCCATGCAACAAACCCCTCCTGGCTCGCAAGGCAGCACCTCCCAGACCCAAAGCTCCAGCCCACCTGAGCGCTGAGAAACGAAACCCCAACCCCAATCCTTACCCAGCTTGGACAGCTCGTTGCTCGGATTGATCCTCATCTCTGTCCTGCTGCTGTCTTTGCTGGCGCTGGTTTTGCTGGACTTCTTTCCGCCTTTGTAGGAATAGGAATCTGCCATCTCTGTAGCGAGCAGAGAACACATGGTAAGACGCATGCAGCAGAGAAAGCGTCTGCTGAAATCAAGAAGGGCTTCTAGGGCAGTAGGCAAAAAAAAAATAGAAACTATTAAACAGGACTAAGCAGTCTCTCCTTGAAGGAAGCAGGAAGTATTGCTAAGTATTTGTTACACGGCTGAGTGCTGCTACGGACATGGTTGAGATGCCGCTTTCATGATAAGACCCTCATGCTTATACGTACAAGAGTAAAGACTTCATTAAAAACAACAGGCTGGATCCATCTGAAGAAATAACAACCAAATGGCTTTTCCCATTCTCTTATTTCTCCGCTTTCATTAAAAGAAACCAAAAAGGGGGGGAAAAAGCGAGTTTTAATGAACAGATCGAGTGATAAATTTGCAATTTTCGCTATTAATGGGGAACTGTTATAAAGCGAGAGTCGTTAACGCTATCTCAGTTCTCCATATTAATAATTCAGTTTGGTTCCCTGACAAATATTGAGCATCAGAAACGATCCGGAAGGGCCCAATCTCGCTCCCAAACTGCCATCGAGTCCAACGGCGGCCGGATTCATTCTTGGATCGGCCGGTTGTTGCGGTTCTGGTCTGAGTCGGTTTTCAGCATTTGCAAACGTGCTGCAAAAACACTGATGAAACGAACGGTGGGAGGGACGTTTGGCGATCACGAGTGGTGTGAGTGTAAGGACGTGGGTTGCTGTCTGCGTGGCAAGCACAACAGCAATGACACACCGGAGTGACGTGCTCTAGAAGCTCCTCTTGCTTTTGCTAAGGTGGAGAAGTCTCGGCGTGTGCGTAACACTTGCTAAGCGGGCTGAATCCCCGGTGCCAGAGGTGGCGAGTGACAGAGAGCAGGCCCACCGCGGACCGCGTGGCCAGGGCAAAGCAGAGTGGGGAGCCTCTGCTGTAAAGGCCAATTCCACCAACTTGGGCAACTCCACCCTTGGTGGGATTCACCTGAAGTCCTCAGGGCTGGGAATGCAGTCTGCACCATCGGCCCTCAACTTGGACTCGGGTCCGCGGTTTGGGCTGAGCCGAGAGGTCTGAACTGCGGTCCCGCACCACGCTATGTGGGTGTTTCAGGTGAACATGCTGCAAACCCACCGCCGAGAGGAGCGCGCTTCCAGGCACCCGGGGTTGCATGGCGAAGGGGGCACCACCGCCACATTCAGAGGTGGCTCCTTCTCTTCCTCTCTCCCTTTGCCATTAGACAGATCCCTGGCAGAGACAAGGCATTTTGCACATCCTTCCATGGGACAAGATCTGAATGCTTCGTAGACACCGACCCATGGCCTTGATAGGCTGGCACATCCATCCTGCAGGAACACGGTGCTTTGGTGACTTGCCCGACAACATCCGGCGAGTCGGTGCCAGTCTGGGACACAGAATCCCATGTTCCAGCCCTGTACATCCTGCAGCCTGCAAGGACACAGGAACGCGCTGCCAACTTCCACTTTTTAGGGGTGTTAAAAGAACTTAATGATACGCAAGAAGTGAACAAGAAGAACAGCAGAACTGGAGGCAGCCTGGAGACCCCAGTGCCCCCCGTGGCACAGCTGCCGGCCTCTGCTATTTGCCATTGTGCAACTAACCTCCCAATGCGCCCTGCGCCTCCGTGCGTTAGATAGGGACAACGAAGCACAGCGTGTTTGGAAAGACTGGGTGCTAGTTAATGCGACTAGACTCCAGAACCAGGACGGTGCCAGACGTCCCGAAATCAGGCACGAGCTGTCCCCCCGTTTTGTCCCAGTTCCATTTCCTCTCCTGGTGCCAGTCCTTGCCTGGGTTATGATCCCACCGGGCAGTTTTCTGAAGAGGACCAGAGGCTCCCTTATCTTGCACCTCTGAAATCAATGGGAATTTCCCCACTGGCTTCATCAGAGACAGATGACGACCAGCAGTGTTGGGCTCTGACGCGTGGGTGGGATAAGGGCAGCGGGCAGAGCCCGACCTGGCTGGCTCTACAGCCAACCACATCTTGCAGCGTGGCTTGGAGGCCGTTTATAGCCCCTGAGCCTGCCTAGCCACATCCTTGCTTGTCGCCGAGCCCTGATGCACGGAGCCACTTCCTCGGAGCTGAAGCAGGGGCAGGGTGTTGTTGTTCACCCCCTCCTCTCCGACAGCAACCGTCTCCTTCTAGCAGAGGTGTTGCAATTCCCACCCTCCGCAAACCCTCCCCACTCCTCAGCCCCCGTGGCTTTATCGGCACCCAGCCACTTCCTCTCTCAGCCCCCGGCAGCAACCTGCACGGACGGGGCAGGCTCTAGCTGGGGGGCACACGACTGCAATGATTCCTTCTGGCCTGAAGGTCTACAGCTTCCTGCTAGCTCACGTGCAACTTGGTAAGTGTACCCTTTTGCTCAAGCAGTGTGTTGAGGCCTGGCGAGATCACTGCCATTCTGCTCTGTGCCAAACCACTTCACCCTCAAAGCCACGGATTTGACTCAACACCCAAACCTCCAACAACGTTGCTGCTTCTGCTTCCATCTGCCCAAAACCCAGTCAAAAAGAACCGGAAAAAGCCCATCCCTGCTCATTCAGCAAGCCACCTGCGGGTCAGCAAGCCCCTCTCTGGAGGGTGGGCTGTTGGACAAGCTGCAAAGCACTTAAGAGCCCGGATATCTGATCCTACAAGGTGTGCAGGCATCAACTCACGCATGCTTTTGATGTCCAGGGCATCGCTCCTCACACGGGGACACGTGGAATTGGAAGAAGCCGAGAGTCCTTAATGGGACTCTCTCTGTGGCCAAGGACAGTGCATTGGGCTTGAAAGCCAGCCATGCTGGGGACACCGGGTAATGCTCCGAGACTCTCCTGCTTGCAATTTTGGTACCAAAAGATTAGTCATCTTCCCAGACACCAGGGTTAGTCATCCTCCGATCGAGTGAGACATCCCAGCCTCGTCTCCACCTTCTCGGGTGCCTGGAGCTCACCAGAGGCACCGTGACTTTAACCAGCTGAGCTTCTTGGTGTGCTTCTTTGAGCTTTATCTACGATTTGATCCCAGCGGCAGGTGGAGGCAGCCCTGGTGTGCAAGGCACTGCACAAATATATAGCATCCGACAGTCCTCACCCCACTAACTTAGATCTTCCAGGCTAGGAGACAAGAAGGAGAAAGGGCAGGGCATGATTGTGTACAAGCAACACACGAGTCTCCCATCGAACAATTATTTATCGAGTTATCCCTATCAGAGACTCACAGACAATGAGGGTGGGAAGGGACCTCAGGGGGTCACATCTAGTCCAACCCCTGCTCCAAGCAGCACCCGCCACAACTGCATCATCCCAGCCCCTGAATGGGCTTGGATCCACAGACGGTGCCCAGACACCCTGCGTGGGATCTGTTTGGCCTGCTCACTTGGAGCAGTGTCGAGTCCCTTTGTCTGTGCACCCAGCTCCCCCGGCGTCACGCCTGGTCCCTCGCTGAGCAAGCACAAGCCCGAGAGCCCCAAACCTAGAGCCAACGCTATCAATAAACTCCCTTTCCTCCAACATTTCTTACTCTGTGCTGCACCCCTTCGGGGCCGGCCGAGATGACCTCACGAGGTCCCTTGCAGTCCTACTTTCCTATATCCCTTGAACACACCTCGCAGTGCAGTCATCCTTAGAAAGCAAATGCAAAGGAGGGGGTAAACCAAGATGAGGAAGAAAATCAGGGTTGGGTTTTTTGTGTTGATGTGAGAGAATACCAAAGGAAACCACTGAGGTATTCGCTCACTGCAACTTCATCCCCAACCTGGGATATTGCTTACATAGATCTGCTTTGGAGTTTAATTTCCTTAGCTACATACGCACAGGCAGACGGGGAGACAGACAGAACAGCACGGCACCGAAATAAAGACTTAATGCAAGAAAACCTGACATGGCTGGTCTCAGCCGTGAACACAAGACGGTGTAACAATGCAAAGCACTTCCCAGAGCAGTACAGTTCAGGTGTGCTACTGAATACTGATGCCGTGTTTTAATTAGACATGTACTACACCAGTGGATCTCAACCTATAGTCCTCAGACCCCTGCGGGGGGTCCGCAGGCTATGTCTAAGGGGTCTGGAAAAGGTGACTACGATGAAGTAAAAGTAGGTGAATATGCACGCTGACAACTCAAAGGGGTCTGGCACCTCTATTAGAAATTTTTTAGGGGTCTGCACATGAAAAAAGGTAAAAAAACCCACAGTGCTAGACCATAAAACCTCGGTGTTGATTGCAGAAATGTGCATGCTTTGATAATTTAGAATTAAGAGCTTATTATTTACTTGACAGACCGCAACGCTTCCCTTGCAACTGGTGCACGGGGGCCAGCGTGGTCCAGTGCTTAGAACAGGGGCCTGGGAGTCGGGGCTTCCCCGGCTGTCACGGATGCTCTGCGTGAACACGGCTCGCTGTGCGACACGCTGGGGAAGCTTCACGTGATGGGAGCTAAGCAAGGCTCAAGGAGGAGGAGGAGAGAGGAGTTGGGCTGAGCACAGAAGCAGGACGAACCCCTACTCTTACTCTATACCTGTTTCAGGATCGTGACCCCACCTGGCAAAAATCCCAGGAAGGACTCTCCATATATTAGCTCCAGCCGGGCTAAAGCTGCAATGAAATGGCCTGACCCCAGGCTGGGGATGTATGTCCCAGGCCCAGGAAGAAGCAGGTCACTCCAAACACATGAAGCAGCCTACAAAACTCCTGACACACGACCAAGTCCCACAGTAAAACCAGGCCTAAGACACTGCCATGCTTAACTGAACTCCTAATTAGATGACAAATTACAGCAGAGGAGCTTTGGGCCAGGAGATATCCTGGCACCTGGAAAAACTTCACATCCAAAAACTACACTGCGTGTCTTCGACGAAAAACGACCCCGAACACCGAACAATTGCGGCTCCTTCCATTCAACGCACCCCCTCGCAGTCAACCTTGCCCTGCAGCTCTGTAACTCTCGCAGAGATTTTATTTCCTCCCCAGCTGCTTCTTTAAAAGCTTTGCCCTTCTCTTTAATTTAGCTTAAAATCCCAGCTAATATACCGTTTACGCAGGGCAAAAAATCTGCTCCCAAACCCACCGTGGCTTTTAGTGTGCTCACCCCAGAGCAACAGAGCAAAAACCAGCCTGGCGTATCCAAACGTCTCCCTTTTATTTCCCGGCACGCATTAGATCAAGACGATTGATGACTTCCAACCTCTCTCCTCTGCTTCCTTAAGGTTGGGTTGAAAGCTAGTTTCAATTTACAATAGCAAAACAAACCCCCCCCCTGCCCAGCAGCCTCTAAATACAGTCGTGCTGGGACGTGGCATGTTAATGACATCCGAGATCGATTCAGGTGTTCCCACAAGGCGCAGAAAAGCGGGTCAGGTCTGTGATTAAGTGACACCCCACCGGTCTGCTACAGGGGAGCCCGAATTCAAGCATCTGGTCCTAGCCTGCCAGGAGCAGCAGGCAGAACCGGCGCATTTTAACCAATTAATCCTTGAACTCGCCCCCCTCCACCCTTTGGCCAACACAAGGACCAGGTGCGTCAATACGAGGTAAGCCCCCAAAAGCCGAGTTCAACGAGAAGTTATTACAACTCAGAAGCCAAATGTGGGAGCAAGGAGGGAGACACGTGAGACAACACAACCTACATACACACTTCAAATTTGTTCTCATGGAAAAACGCCTGGCCTCGATGCTCTCGCTCGACAGCACAAAGCGGGATACGGAGAACAGGCCGCACTGTCATGCAGTCACTTTGGGGTCAAGTTGATCTTGGGATAAGCTGGCATGAGTCCCATCGACGTGCAATGTATTCTACAGAGGCAAAGCTCATATCGCAGTTACTTAATTGTTCTGGGCAATGTCTCCCCTGCATCATAAGCAGACCTACCACTGGAAGTTGCAAGGCTTCTTGGCCAGCTTCCTGGGTCCTGGTGGCCAAGACCCAGAGACTGGTATTCCAAGGAAGCCATCGGGAAGCTGGTGAGCGGGTCCTTAAAAATCTCCATCGGACAAGACGCATCAGAGGGAAAATTGTGCAGAAAAGCCTCCGCTCACCGCTAAATGCCTCTGGTCAAATGAATGAAGTTGCAGCCATTTATACCTGAGTTTGGTCCCTTCAATCTCAGCCCGTGGTTATCTGCGTGGATGCCATCAGCCACTAACTGCTGGGATCTAAGAGTCCCCAGTACATCTGTAGGACTGGAAAGAGGGGGAAAAAAAGAGGCCTGCAGGTCCTTAATACGGTCCTCTCCCCCTGCCCTTCCCGGGTGAAGTGCCAACCACATCGTTAAGAACATGCCTAATGTAGAACGGGCTGAGACCTCGGCAATTTCCTTCACTTAGGATGAATAATTTATGAGCTGCTGCAAATGTTCCCCGTGTTG